TCATTGACTACACATGCATATAATTAAAGATTTAACTATCTAATACTGTGAACATTTACTTTAAAGCCTAGATATGCACTTGGAGCTTCCTCTCAAGAGCCTTGTTTTCTTTTATGTGTATCTATGTTTTTAATTAAAGCTAGTCCAAACCATATTTGTTACTTTAACACTTCAATTATGAGGCAGATATTATCTTTCCATACTTGCCGTAGTGATTTTTTTTTTCTCTGTGTCATAATGGGTTTTTTTTTTTGGCAGGAGTTTTCTTTGAGAGGGTTTTTTTTTTTCTTTTTTTTTGAAACAGAAAGAAATTGTGGTTTGATATGTTGGGTCTTTGAATGATAAAGCTTTTCTACATCCTGTTTTTAAAAACATGACCTGAAATCTGTATCTATATCTTTTTAAAAAAGTTTCAAGTCTGATCTTGTCTTTGTATAATAATAATAGTTATTACCTAATAGGACATAGAATAAAAGATCTAGACATGAATAACTGTAATAAGTGTATCTGTTGCATTTAGGACTGCCAAGTTGGTAGTATCTGATGGTGATGATGTTGGATTAAGTGAATTTGAGGTAAATAACTGTGGATTGCATGTCTGATTGGCCTCCCAATACTCTAAGCCTCTCATATCGTGGACCAAAGGCCTTTCAGAAAAGGCCTTAGTGTAGACTTTTAATGTTATCTCCAGAAGAGAATACATACATACATACATACATACATACACATACATGTATATATATACACATATATGTATATATGTGTATATATATATATAGTCACAGAGATATATTGAATAGATTGAAAGGAACTTGTCATATAACTTTAAATATACTACAATTTTTGTAACTCCATTTTCATATATCTATGGGTTTTTTTTAATAAATTAAGGGAACTGAAACAAATGAGAAGTCTAGCTCTGAGTTGCTGTAGAAATGGTCATGTAACTAACCTATAGCAATGGGCAGCTGGAGAAAGGAGCACATGATCATATTTCCAGGGCAGTTAGAAGAGCTAAATTACAAAAAAAGAATGCTCATGTTCTGTGTGGAATTAGGAGAGAAATATTATGTTTAATGTTACATGGATAGTGCTTTTCTACAGTGAGCAAAATTTGTATTTGTTCAGTGACAAATATCGAAAGACAGCATGATTTCCACTACATCTGTCTTAAAGCAAGCATTGCCATTTTACCTTCAAAAACTCACATCGTTTGTGTATCCTGCCCCATTCCCTGGTGCATAGGGTATTTGATTTTGGCATGTGCTCCTAGTAACTGTCAAGAAAAATTTCCTTAAGAGTTCAAAATCAAAACAAAATGATGATCACCTCTTTAGCTGGAGAAAAGAGGAAGTAGTGGTGTGTCTTACAAAATAAGGCATACCCTGCAACGTTGATTGCTTAATATTTCCTTGTGAAGCTTCTATTTTAGCTTTATCTTTGACTCCAAGATGAAGTGTGAATAATAGAAGAGTTCAGTGTTCTTCTGTAATAGAGTTAAAGCTTTATTTATCTTCCTTTATTCTCCTTCCCTAGCCTTTTGCTTTTTTGTGTCAAAGCTCAGTGCATGTGCATGTCCTGTTACTTCTAGAAAGCCTCATAGAACCATGTCTTCTTTTCTTTGGATTCCTGCAGTTAGATGGTACTACCTTTGTTCAGGCTGTCACCACATAACCTTCCAATCGGGGCTGCTTCACTGCAGAAGTTCCCACGCGAACCAGAAGAGTGCTGTGCACAGCAACCCTGCTAGTCCAGGCTTTCATAGCACCTGTTTCATTTATATATTTTTTTGCAATTATCTTTATGATTCTTTGATTAATTTCTGCCTTTCCCACCAGTCTGTGAGCCTCCTTGAGGTCAGGGACTTTGTCTGGTTTTGCTCACTCTGAATCTATTTCCCACCCATAGCATAGTAGCTGGGACATAGCCTCTAAATTGTCTCCTTGCCTCCAAATTCACACCCTTTCCAAACCTTTCTTCTTACTGTCACCAACATCTTTACAAACTCAGATAAGTCCTCTGCAAGTTATGTACTTGCTCTCAATACCTATAGATTAGAGTCCAGGCTACAAGCTGCTTTTTAAGCCTTGTCTGCCTTCCTAAGAACATTGCTTTTTATTTAGGTTTATTTTACACTTCTTTATCTGATATAGAGCTGCCTTTCTTCCTCTTTGAATTGTAAATCACTTGCATCTTTGTAAACTCTCAGTCTTCATAAAATTCAATTAATAGTTGTTTAATTGGTTTAGGTATTATGGAGATACAATCTCCAGAATTACTGTACTTGATAGTTATGTAGTTCTTCCTATACCACAAATGTAAGATGTTTTATAAATATTCTCTTATTTATATCATTGTAGACAGAAAATATATTTTATTCTATTGTTTTATTTACAGCTGTCAATCATATTGCCTGCAGCATGGTAATAGTAATACAATGGGCTTTGCGATCCTATGTTAATGAAATCTGGAATATTTGTTTTATCTGTTAAACTTTGGTATCTACTTGAGCCCTTCTCAACCTATTATTTAATTAAATTAATTGGTGTTTTAAAGTCACACGATACTTTTGTATCTGTCTCTACTGTGTTTTCTTGCATTCTTATTCACTTTCTTTTCTAAGAGTTAAAGTTCATCTGATTCTGTCCATCAGAACTCTGTCATAGTGTCTTTTAGTTGCTTCCCTATGTAAAATGTTTTGCCTGCTTTAAAATATTTAGAATGTTTTCAAGATAATTGAAAACTTCAGCAGACTGATGAATTTTTACAAATTCAGCATAATACCTGTCTTTTGTTGCCTACATAAGTTGTACCATATTTAAAGGTGCAGTGCTTTGAGATTGCCTGAACTTAAATTTTCAAAGTTAATGCCATTTTGATTATAAAGATTCCGAGAGCCTTTTAAAAATATTTTAAAAGAAATACATGTACTATACTTTGCAAAACTATAAAAGTAGAAAACTGGAAACATTCTATGTGTTTATAAATTGGGGGCTATTTGAATAACTTGTGGTACATCTATGCAAAGGAGTGCTATGCAGTCATGAAATAGAATCAGGACTATATATATTATTTTGGAGTTCTTCAGGATATATTATTATGTCTAGGTACCTAGATTTTGCTTCAAAATGATATGGAGAGTGGAGAGGAAAAGTGGAAGAGTTTAGACAAAACAAAATTGTTTATAACTTGATAGTTGTTGGGGCTGATTGATGAGCACTTGAGGATTCATGATACTATTATGCTACTTTTGTTTATATTTGAAATATTTCTTAAAGAAAAAGCTAAAAATAACAGGTAAAGTCTAATGTTCTGAAGGAAATATTTTTCTGGGATAGTCATTAACATTTGACATCCATGAAATGATTGAACATACATATCTTATCTTATTAAATACAAACAAATCTAGATATATAACCAAACCATTTTCCTCTCCCTGAAGATTAAAACAATAAACTGTGACTACTTACCAAATGTAAAGTGTTGTGATGCCTTAATAATAGGTTCTTTTTAAAAACTATTTTCTGTCATTGAAAAAAATAAATGTGTTAAAAGAGGCAAAGTCCAAATGATATCACATAGAGACAACCTGATATTTAATTCCTCCTGATAGAAGTGCGTGTTACCACCTATGAAGTATTTTTGTAGCAGGAGGAGGAAAACAAATGCATATGTAATTTATAGCTGTGGCAGAATATTGGAGATTGCAGACTGGAAGCCAGCAGTCCAGAGTCATTATCACATTTAATCTGCATATATTCTTTATGAAGCAGAAAAATTAGTTACTGTTACTCCCATTTTAGAGAGAAGAAAAGAGACTTAATGAATAAATGACATGCCTGTGGCCACTTGACTGATAAATTCAGGAACCCGAGCCTACCATGACTTCTACATTCATGTTATAGAACATGCTTTCCCTATTAAAAGAACAAGGATCCTTATGATCAAGGAGCAGCTAATCTGATAAGGTAGACATGAGAGATAATACACGTTCAACAGAAGATCCAGACCTTAAAATTATGACATTTGGAGTTATCTTCTATGGCAAGAGAAAGGTGCAGGTATACTCTTCTGTCGAGTATAGATTTATATATTTCAGAGATCAAAAGAGCGATTGATAAATTGAGATTCTCTTGTGCAAAGGAGGGGCAGCCATCCCAGTGCCACCAAAGTGGGTCAATAGAGACATTGTAAGCTGAGATGGGGATCCTTTTAGAAACTTCGCTGGGTCCACTTAAATGCATGAGCAAATCAATGGCCAATGCTCAGGGCTGGCTTCATATGTATGTGAACCATGCAGTCACATAAGGACTTGCTCTCAGAAGGGTCCTGCATAGTTGAATGTTCGTGTCACCATCTCGAAATTTTTAATTTTTATTTTTGAGCTGATGCTTTGTTAGTGAAGTCTGATAGGACAATTCATCATGTACATGAGCAACAGAGATAGTCCAGATGGCAGCGCACACAAGCATAGGCCTGAGCTGTGGCCATAGCAGGCAGTGTGGGTGTTGAGCAATTAGCTTGATGGCCTGGTGTGCTGGTGTGTGTCTCAGGCAGTATGGGGCACCACAGGGTATTTGTTTTTATTTTCAAAAAAAAATTGAATTAACTTTGTGTTATATTTTGAGGTGAAGGTTATATTTATTTACTCAATCAATGGATAGTAATTGAGTGCCTACTACAACACTCAGTAAACAAAATTAGGTTTCTGCCCCTATGGAGTTTATATTCTAGTAGTACATATATATGTAATTTCCAATTAATGCAATAGTAGCCTACTTTGTAAAATTAGAATATGATTTGAGTGTAACAATGGAGAGTATCTTCATAACAAAGCAGAGTTTTGAATAATGTGATTATAGCTAAGTTTCCTGACGTATAGTTTTGTTGGAGACTAGCTTACAGCAGTTAGTTTTGCTTGCTTTTATTATATTCCATTAATTTTGCTTTATAAGTGAAGTCATCCCTAAATAGCTGCATATGGAATAATTTTATTTTAGAATTGTGAAAAATGGAAGACAGCACCACAGACACAGAACAAGAAGAAGAGGAGAAAAATGAAAAGGATCAAGAAGACCCCATTTATGCCATAGCACCCACAATTAACACCCAA